TCTAGGCATATTGGGATAACGATAGAAGTGGTCATACTCTCGGAAACCGGAATTATTCTTTTCTGAAAATCGAATTTCCATTCTATCTCGCAATTTTTTTTTGAAAATCGAAATCTTGCGAAGCCTATCAACAGTTCGTTAGGCATATTCGGAGGTTGCCATATTCTCAGAAACGGGATTTCGTTCTTTTCTGAAAATCGCATCTTTACTCCATTTCGCAAATTTTTTTTTTTCAAGATCGCAGTTTGTAAAAGCTGAAACTTTGCGGAAACTAGCCTAGATCTCGTTCATAGTACTCTTCTAACATGTCTCACTCATAACAGATCGACAGATATACAAAAAAAAAAGAAAAAAAAAAAGGAAGTAGTCCTCTTCTATTTTTTTATTTTTATCTGTTGATTAGGGCCGGAGGAAAGTATTGTTGGGTTGGTTACCTACCTACGTTTTCCCTCCCACCCACCCCTTTGCATGCATTTCCGAGTTGGTACAGTGCCAAGTCAGCAGTGCCACATCAGCAGTGCCACATCAGCAACAGTGCCACAACCGCAGTGCCATGTCAGCAACAGTGCCACGTCAGCAGTGCCATGTCAGCAGTGCCACATCAGCCACAGTGCCACGTCAGCAGTGCCACGTCAACAGTGCCACGTCAGCAATAGTGCCACGTCAGCAGTGCCACGTCAGCAGTGCCACATCAGCCACAGTGCCACGTCAGCCACAGTGCCGTGTCAGCAGTGCCACGTCAGCAGTGCCACGGCAACAGTGCCACGTCACAGTGCCACGTCAGCAGTGCCCCGCCACCATGACGGGCGCAGCTCTGGGCATGCCAACTGGCCAACGAGTCTATTGCCGACTACAAACAGCAGTTCCAGACTCAGCTCGCATTGATCGAGGCTGAGGAACGACGCCAACTGGCAGCCAAGGCTGCATGCCTACAGACTGAAGTAGCGGCAACAGCTGAGAAGCAGCGGCTACAGGCCGAAGCAGACGCAGATACCCAGGCACGCCGCAAGGAAGCCCAGGATCTGCTGCAGCGGCATGAAGCCGCCAGCATCGAAAGACTCAAGTTCTGGCATTTTCAACCGTCCAACGGCGACGACGCGATACCGGAAGAGCAGCACAAGGAGTTCCCCTCCAAACTCGTGACACGGTTGTTATACGCTTGCAACTATCAACAGTCCGAGTTAGAGAGACAGAACCAGGAACTGCAGCAATAGTACCAGGATCTGAAGACACATCACCAAGAGTTGGCGAACCCATGTCGGACAATGTAGAGCCACGAGGATGCTACACGGGCACTCAATTCCCGTGTACTGGACCTGGAGCAAGTTGTACCAGGACCAGATGTTGGTGTGTCCAGCACTGCACCCTCTAACTGCCAACTGGAGGAACGCGCCGACCACGTCGTCGCAATGCTCGGCAACATCAGCACCTTCGCTGAGCCGACCACCATCAGCAATCAGCTGGATACCTTGAAGAACGAGGTCCAGCAACTGCAGTTGATTAACAAGAATGGCAACAACACACAGCATTACAAGATGCCAACTTTTCAAATTGAGAAGTTCGATGACTACACGCATCAGGACCCGGTCCTCTGGTGGGAAGGTTTCACGACGCAACTTCGGATTCTGCAAGTTGCCAAGCACGCGTACGTCGGCGCCTTGTTTCTTAACTCAAAGGGCGGATGCCAGATCTGGTTAAGCCACCTGGCATCCACCCACGGCGTCGACGTCGCAGATCTGAAAGACAAGATCTCATGGGAAGAGTTAATACGGCTATGGAAGAAGCGGTTCATCATGGACGACGCACCTGCACTTGCCATCAACCGTCTCTTCGCCATGACGCAAGGCAACACAGCAACACGTGACTGACTCACGGAATGGCAGAACATCGCGACAACACCCGATCTGGACTTACCATTTCCGCATCTGCGCCGCGAGTTCTATAACAGGTCATGTGCTGCATTGAGCCTCGCACTTGGTAATCGCGAGCAGCATGCAACCTTCGCTGAGATCATTGACAAGGCGAGGGAGATCATCAAGACCAACAGGGCAGCTGCACACGAGAGGTCAGCCTGGCAGCCAACCTATGTGGAGAAGGTAAAGACTGGTCCGCGGCAGCAGCAGTTCGTTGCAGTCCAATCGGACAACACTGTGGAAGACCCGGCAGCCACCCAAGCGTCACGTGAGGGAGATCAGGTGGTTGTTGTCCAGCCGCGAAGCAACAACAAGTCCCGAGTAAATAGGAAGGCGAAATCAGCATCGAAGGCCGGAAACGGACAGCCAACACCACCATGGGTCAAGTTCAACTTGACCGAGGCCGAGTACAAGTACCGCGGCCGTTACGGCTGCTGTTACTGGTGCAACGGCACCAAGCACAAGACCTCCCTTTGCCAGGATCAGGCCAAGGAGGATGTGCGGCCTCGTCTTAACTCGGGAAACTGAGTTTCGCGGGAGGTGAGGCGACTCCACCTCCCACTCCGCCAGATTCGGCCGCCTTGCTAGCGGCCTCCTACACATCTGGGGAGGATGCGAATGTTGTAAGTTCTCGGTATGCTTACGAGGACTATGCTGTCCACTTGGTCCCACCGCTAGACCAACCGCTCCACGTGCAACAATCTACCGCATGCACGGTTTCATCACCATCGGCAACCGATTCGGCAGTTTCGCCGCCATCTACCGCCGGGGATTCAACGTCATGGTCAAGACTTGAAGAGCTCGACCCATTGACATTTGCGGACTTCCAATGGATGCCCCTTCCCCGGTCCGGTCGATTGCCGGAACCGCATTGCAACGTGCTCATGGCACAATTGTGGGATTACTTGCACACTGCAGTACCGACTCCGTTGATGGACGTCGGAGTAGAGGTTGTCGACCTTCACGCCTACATTACGAAGATAGACCGCGAGTTCAAGACGCAACGGTACGACGACATCGACGCACCATTGCTATATGTACGCATTCAGATCGGAGAGGCGACCTGCAGCGCTTTAATCGATTGCAGAGCATCTCGCAACTACATGAGTCAGGACTTCATGGTACGCGCCGACCTTGGCCCACGAGTTCGAAGGAAGTTTCAGCCCACGCAAGTCACATTGGCGGACGGTCACACGCACAAGTCAATCGACCGGTGCATTGATGACGTCCCAGTGTACTTTGCCCCTCACGCAAGTAATGCGGTGTCCTTTGAGATTCTGGACACCAAATTCGACATGATCTTGGGCATGTCATGACTGCGAAGCGAGGATCAACTGGTGAACTTCTACCGCCGCACCGTTCACGTTCGTGTTTGGAACAGAGTACTAGTCTCATGCACGGTAGCTCCTCCTCACCCTTCAGTCAGTTGTCACGTGGTATCCGCCGCAAGCATGCGAGCTTCCATCATCAGAGACGACATCGAGGAGATGGGGGTGTGTTTTCTCCACGCCCTCCCGCCCCATGACGCTTCACCGACGGACTCATCTTCGGATCCACGCATCACCGAGTTTCTCGATGCCTACAACGACGTGTTCGAAGGCCCGCACGGAGTAGTACCAGATCGGCCCATCCGCCACGAGATCATCCTCGAGGACGGGGCCGTACCTCCGCGCGGTTGCATCTACCGAATGAGCGAGGAAGAGTTAAGTGTGCTTCGGGCACAACTCGACGACCTTCTGGAGAAAGGCTGGATTCGGCCTAGCTCATCGCCATACGGTGCTCCTGTTCTCTTCGTCCGGAAGAAGAACAAGGATTTGCGGTTGTGCATCGATTATCTCAAGCTCAACGTGCAGACGATCAGAAACGCCGGCCCTCTCCCACGCATCGACGACCTTCTCGAACGACTGGGCGGCGCCAAGTTCTTCTCCAAGCTCAATCTCAAGTCAGGATATCACCAACTCGAGATTCGGCAGGAGGACCGCTACAAGACCGCGTTTAAGATGCGATATGGGCATTTCGAATGGATGGTTATGCCATTTGGCCTTACGAATGCCCTGGCCACTTTCCAAGCGGCTATGACAACGGAGTTCCGACACATGCAGGATCGATACGTACTTATCTACCTCGACGACATCCTGGTGTACAGCCGGAGTTTGGACGAGCATGTGGAACACCTGCGCACCGTTTTGGAGCGGCTAGGACAAGCCAAGTACAAAGCCAACCGCGACAAGTGCAAATGCGCGCGGCAGGAGCCGAGGAGCCGGAGTACTTGGGACATTATGTGACGCCGCAAGGCATCCGTCCGCTTGCGGACAAGATCGAGGCCCTCCGTGTATGGCCCGAGCCCACCAACACCACGGACGTTCGTTCATTCATGGAGTTGGCGGGCTACTGTCAGCGATTCATCACCGGATACTCAAGGATTGTTGCACCTCTGACGAGATTACAATCGCCGAAGGTGCCATTCGTATTCGATGACGACGCACGCCGGTCATTCCAAGCACTCAAGATGGCCATGCTCATGGCACCCATCCTTAGCATCTATGACCCCACCCTGCTGACGAGAGTGACTACGGACGCTTCCGGCTATGGCATTGGGGCAGTCTTGGAACAGCACGACGACGACGACTTGCACCCTTGGAGTATTTCAGCCACAAAGTGCCTCCCATCAACTCGCTTGATGATGCAAGGAAGAAGGAGCTGCTTGCATTCGTGATGGCTCTCAAGCGATGGCGACACTTCCTCCTTGGGTGTCGTAGGTTCACATGGGTTACGGACAACAACCCACTGACTTACTACAAGACGCAGGATATGGTGAGCAGCACGATCGGACGATGGATGTACTTCATCGATCAATTTGACTTCATACTGAAACATCTTCCCGACCTCTCCAATCGCGTAGCAGATGCACTCTCGTGAAGACCTGATCTTTGTGCTATGACACATCATGCCTTCGCATTCAGCGACACTTCATCAGGGGCTATGAGTCCGATCCTGACTTCGTCACGCTATATGTGCAGCTATCTTTGGATCACCCGCCGGCCAGCCACTATCGCATCGTCGATGGGTACTTGCCCCTGCACTCGCGGGGCAAGGACTTACTATATGTCCCACGCGACCGCCGTCTTCAGACTCGCCTCCTCGGCGAGTATCATGATTCGCGACTCGCCGGCCATTTCGGAGTCAACCGCACTATTGCACGGCTTCGACAGCGATTCCGATGGCCCGACCTCATCACCGATGTCACGAGGTATTGCGACTTTTGCGAAGTTTGCCGACGAAGCAAACCCCGCAACCGCAATCCCTACGGCGAGCTGCGCCCGATGCCGATCCCGTAGGAACCCGGTCTCTCCATTGCCGTGGATGTCACCGGACCATTGCCCCGCGACCGCTTCGGACACGACGGCATCCTCACGGTCGTGGACCGATTGAGTAAGTACGCGCGTTTTCTCCCTTGCAAGTACTACTCCACGGCTCCCGAGCTGGCACGCCTCTTGCACACCAGTTGGATTTGTGGCCACGGTGTACCAGAAGACATAGTCAGCGACCGCGACACTCGCTTTATGTCGGCATTTTGGACTGCTCTCATGCAGGAGTCCGGCACGAAGATGAAACCAAGTTCGGCTCGTCATCCACAGACGGACGGGCAAATGGAGCGGGCACATCAAACCGCTCAAATGATGCTTCGTACGCTCATCCGTCCGGACCAGAAAGATTGGGTTGA